AAAAAAAAAAAAGAGAAAAAACAATGAAAAAATTGAAATTACATCAAAACAAGCAGTATTTTTGAGTATTTAACTGTTGTTTTTCATCCGAATTGAAAGACGGATTATTGCATTTGTTTTATTGAAAAAAAAAAATATTGCATTTTTTGCTTTCTTTTGTTAAATAGTTTTACTTATTCATAAAGTAGACTTTCTTGCCTTGCTGTTTTTACCTTTCCTTTCATTGAGTAATGCTTACTTTGAGTGCTACTGTGCAAAAGAGATTTGCACAGAGTATTTTAGTTGCTTGTCCGATGACCCTTTTGCAAAGAATGATCGGTTTTCCCGATTATATTTTGTGAGAAGCGATAATCGAACAGGCATAAATTATTGTTTCAATTTCCTTTTTACATTCAAATTTTGTTTGGTTTAAGCTGTTGTTATTGCTGTTGTCGTTGTTGTTGTTGTTGTTGTTGTTTGCTGCCATTATTATTGCAACTGCTGCTGCTTCTGCTGCTGTTGCTGTTGCTGCTGCTGCTGTTGCTGTTGCTGCTGCTGCCACTGTTGTCGTAACTGTTTGAACTGGATTCGTAATTAACAATTATGGGCTAACGCATGCGGGAATTGTGGTTTTCTGTTGATGGATTCATTTATGTGTGTGTGTGAGTGTGTATGCCGCAAACTGATAGGATTTACGACTGAATCATTCAACAGTTTTAGTAATGCGGTTTATTTCTGGACGTTTTTAGTTTAGTTTAGTAGGCAATTTGTATTATTATTTTTTAGAGGCTCTTGCTTGAAAGTTTAATGCTGAGCAGTTGTATTTACCGAATGACTGGTGTAATTTTTGTATCATTTTTGATACGCTTATCAGAATTTTTTACTTTTCTATATTTTTGTACTTTTACATTTGCTATACCTTCAAAAGCAAAATGAGCAATAACTTGCCATCTTCAGTTCTTTTCCTTAAATTTCTTTGTTTTGCTTTTATTGTTGGCATAAAATGTCGAGGGCTCTAATGTTGATTGTAGTCATAGAATTTTATGGTGCACTGAAGAAGGTGGTAAGAGTTGAATGGGGAGGTTGAATAAAAAGACGGCAATGGAATCTTATGATAATTTTTTGCGACCGTTACGGGTGAATGAATCATTCTTAAGATGGCTAACATTCTCCCGTTGATGCAGTCGTCTGTTTGCAGTTTGTTGACCAAAAATGCAGCTAGTTATTTCCGCTTTTGGTTTTAAAAACTATACGGGGGTCTTTACCCTGTTTTTGTTTTTCTCCTTTTTTTGTTTATTTCTTTTTGTATCAGCGAACGGGAGTAATTTTTGATTTAATAGTGATCATCTATAACTTTTTTCTGTCTATGAACTTTTATTGCATTTATTGCTCTCTACCAGTTTTTTTAAACAATTCGTACACGATGGGCACTATTAAGGCACTATAGGCATTATTAAGCGAGATTTTACTACAATAATAGTTTGTTTAAAAAAAAAAAAAACTACAAAATGTTGGTAAACGATAGGTATCGGTTTTGATTTGATCAACCGATCATTGAGTCATCGTTGTGATCATCATCTAAGAGCGGTACTATTGATACTTTAGACCATTTTCACTTGATAACACTTGTTTATTGCCTTTTTAATTTCCTTTCTCACACCGACATTTATAAAATAGCAGACTGTTTGAAGTAGCTTTTTACAACGTTAAAATGAAAAAAAAAAAAAGAAATTTTTGAATCATTGTAATTTAGTGTCTAAGAGCAATACTACTTTTTCAGCACTAAAGTGTTACAGCAATACGTAGCAAGCAACTGTGAGTATTTTTAATATTAATTTTCTGGTGAGCATTTGTACAGTTTTGATTATAATCAAGATTACTGACTGGTTGATCAAAGGATGAGTAAACTGCATGATTATGACTAGTTTGATATCCAGGATGCTCTTTTTTTTCCTTTTTGCTGTTATCTTATATGTATGTACATTTGATGAACATGTCAACACGCATGCTGTCATTATTATTAGCTGATTCCGAAAAATCTCAAAATTAATTTATTATTATTGTCTTATTATTATTATTATTATTATTATTATTATTATTATTATTTATTATTATTATTATTATTATTATTATTATTATTATTTTTTAGAGTAACAGCTGTTTTCAAATGACTAACGTTACATTTGATTTCAGTTTTTGTTGATCAGTTGCTATTTGTAGTGAAATGCAGTGGCAGATATGTACAAAATCCTTTCGATGTTCTATATCTTTTTGAAACTAAATTGTTGTAGTGGAAATTATAAATTTTTGTGCCATCATTTAAACCAGTCACAAAAGTTGAACATTTAACGATTTTGATTTGCT